GGCTTTTGGTCTCCTTGTATGCCTAGTTTTCTTTAATTGTATGCTATTTGCAAAATCATTTGATAAATTGTTTGAGACCAAAGATTAAGTATTTCACAAAGGAGAGAGAGGGAGAGACGAAGAGAGGGAGATAGGTATGTGTGTTCTGCTTGAGAGAATCCAAGATTACTTAAATCTCAGCTTTTGAGATTTTCTTGGGTGAACTAGATGACTCAAGGCCGTGTTATATTCAGTATGTGGAGTAATTTCTGGTTTACCCCAATTTCTAAGATGCAACCCTTCAGGGTCCCAATCTGAAGGTGAAGAAAGAGGCTTTTTTCCTTTTTGCCCCTTTTGTTTATTAGGCTATCACATGACTTAAACTCTAGCTGCTTCTTCCGGATTGCTGGACTCACTTTTCCGAATTCCTGTCCCTTAGTGGATCTCAAAACACTGTCCTGTGAGCTCTTTGACCTGTTCAGGACCGACATTTCTTCTGTTTTGCCCAACTGTATTACTGGTCTTCAGTAAGAGTTAATTTAAATTGCCAAATGTTCTATAACACAGTAAGAGTGGCTTCTTGTCGGGTCTTCACAGGCAGAATTTACTTACAAATACCAGTGACTTGGTCACTTTTATCTAAACTTTAGACTTATTCCCTAGTTCTGTGTAAACTTTGTTTTAAATCTCTGTACTCATTTAGATTATTATGTGTATTTTTTAATTAAAAGCTTATTCTTTCTCTTTCTCTCCCTCTCTCTCCCCTCCCTTCCTCCTTCTGTCTGTATAAGCATAAGTGGGAAGAAATTGCTCAAAAGGATAAAAGGAACTAGGATGGGTGAAAGGAGAAAAGACAGTATGGAAAAGGGAAAAATGCAAGTCAGTGACACTATTAGTGTCTCTTAGTTCATTAAAAAGGCAGGTTTGTGCTAGTATTGATTGGAGAAATTTGTATGCCCATATCCTGTACCCTGAGCAACTGCTTTAAAGATAACAACATGTAATGTATTAGCTCATGTTATTCTCCTATTATTTTGTTAGGAAATTTTGTTTTACCTTTTTTTCCATTAAATAAAAAGTAAGTAAATTATTTCTTGACTACTTGGCAACACTGAGTCTCTTCTGCCTTGGCCAATTTCTACACTTGACAGTGGATGATTTTATCATGTTTAGATTTCAGCTAAGCATAGTGTTCATGACTCTGAGAATATGAAATCTCACTTAATTGCTATTTAAATTTATATACATATTACCAAATTGTTTCCCTTTCATAGAAAACGATACTTTCCTAGTTACTCTTTTACCATCACAACTTGTGTCTCAGTGTACCTGTCTCAGTGTACCTCTGTGTGGATATATCTGTTCTTTGAAAATAGAAAAAAGAGGCTGGTATGAGATTGTGAAGTTTGCCACCATATGAGTCTCAACCTAATGAATAAATGTGTTGCATTGCCAATTTATTAACTTTTTCTTCTATGTAAATGAATTCCCATGGCAGACTTTGAGGTAACTGTGGGATAATTAGGTCTGGTATTAAGGAGAGGATTAGGAAACAAGGTCTAGGAGAAGTTAAGTAATTTGCCTGTGATCCCACACCTGGTGGATAATGTGTGTTGTCTATTATTATAGCACATTTTATTTCAGTTATTATGGCTTATAGGTGTTTGCTGACTTCCAGTTTTGTCACTTTATGCTTTCTTCTTTCTGTAAACCATGTATCATGACTCAGTGACTCATATGCTAAGGATAGAAGCAACTGGGAGATTGTCCTTCATTTGCCATCCTCATTGCCCCCCACCTCACCCCATTTCTAGAATATGATCCCACTGGCTCTGAAATCTGCAACTGTGCCCTGTGGGAAAGCTTGACGTGTCACTGGTCCTCTCACCCCCCATGTGCAGTCCCTTTTCCTCTTTACATGTGCCTCTGTTTTTGCAGTTCTAAGAAAGTTGCTTCCTTCCTTTGCTCTTTGTTGTCACTCTTATGATTAAACTCAAACTTCGCTACTCTTCCAGTTCCCTGGATATCATCTGTAAGGCTTCCTTATTTTGCTTCATCCAATGCTCCCAGTGAAATTTTAGCAAAAATCTTGTTTGTTTTATCCTTTTCGGTCCTAGGGAGGGCAAAAGCTAACCTGCCTCAGTCTCCTTTCCCAGCTATAAAGTCAGTGCTCTGGTGCTTGTGGTGCCTCTGCTTCTGAGTGTTCCATGTATCTTGTTCTCAACATCCTTGCTACTACTCCCTTTGAACAGTTACCTTACTCTTACATTAGACTTGTGAAAATAAATGGGGCTGTTTATTTGTAGCATTTTCAGTCATGTGTTCAGGCACTGTGTGTTTTAGGGTATGAAGATACTGCCTCCTCAAATTTAGGATTACTCCATTTTCACCTGAGAACTATTTTTTGTTTATTCCTATCTAAAGAATCTTTTCTGGAAGGTTCATACATTAGGTTTCTCCCTTGTCCCACTCATGAATCTGTTTTGCTTTAACATGTTGATAGAACTGTTTGTTGACTGACGTGAAAATCTTTTGAATTTCCTCATTGAAGACATTTGCATTTTCCATTTATTTATTTTTTATTTTTCAGACAGCGTCTCGCTAAGTCAGGCTGGTCTTGAACTCACTGTGTAGTCCAGTTTGGCCTGGAACTCAAAGCAATCCTCCTGCCTCAACTTCCCGAGTGCTGGGATTATAGGCATGTGCCACCATGCCCCGAAATGTCTTTTTATTTTCTAAGCCTCTGTCTTTTCTGTTGTTGACTTTGTTTTTGTTCAGTACTTGTTTTACCGAACCCATATTTCCTTTCTTACAACTTCATTCTCATCACAATACAGAGTATACATTTTTACCAGTTCAAGAGAAGCTTCAGGATTGGATATGGGCGTCATACTTCTGTCTTTATCACTTTCGTTCTAATGTGCTAGGGATGGAACCCAGGACATTGTGCTGCTAGGCAAATGCTCTACTCTTGAGGTCAGCCTTTCTAGCTGCTTTTGTTTTACTGTCTGTGCCAAATAATTAACCTTTAAAGTATTATTTTTAATATATTACCTTTTTCTTCTTAAAGTCAACTCCTAGTTGATATTATTTGGTTTGTTGTTTGTTTGTTTATTGGTACTTGGGATTAAACCCCAGGGCCTTTGCACTGAGCAACATCCTAGTTCTTTTTCAGTTTTTATTTTGAGGCAGGGTCTTGTTAAGTCACTCATTTGCCCAAACAGGGCTCAAACTTGTGGTCCTCCTGCCTCAGCCTCCCAGCGTGCTGGGATTATAGGCTTGTATCACCATTCCTGGCAGATACTTTATTTTTAATTTTATTTGTGAGCATCTGCAACCATATACAAATAAAAAATTCAGTGAACTTCTAATGGATGCCATAGTATTAGCATTTTACCATACTCATTTCATCTCTCTTGTCATATTTTTCCAAGAATTTAAACCATACCTAAAGCATAGTTGACCCCTAAAGTAACATGCCTCTAAAACAGTACACTTTCTTACATAACTACCATGTCATTATAGACAACATACCTAATAATAATTCCTTAATAGCATAGATAATACTTAGTCCATGCTTAATTTTCTTAAGTTTTTCTCAATTTACTTGTACTATTTAAAAGCCCCTTTTGCCCTTATTCATGCACAGAATGTCCTTTTTTCCTCTGTCTGTCTGTCTGTTTTGTTTTTCTTTTTGCTGTTTGAGACAGGGCCTTGCTCTGCAGTTTAGTCTGGCCTTAAACTCACAAAGTAGACTAGGTGGGCCTCAAACATATGGAGATCCATCTATCTCAGCCTCCATAGCACTGGGGTTACAGGTGTTTGCCACCACGCCTGGCTTCTTTGTATTTCATAAGGGCTGGACATTAGATTTATAGACGCAGTTAGGTTCAAATTATATTTTTTGGAGGGGTGAGCAAAAGTTCTTGCTGTCGCTTCATATTACATCACAGCTGGAAGCACATGATGTCGGTCGGTTCACTGTAAGTGTTTCTGTGATTCATTAGAAGGTTGTGGTGGACAGCTGGATATTTTCATGAAGCCCACCTTTTTACCCAGTGCTTTTGTCATCCATTGATTATTAGTATGTGATATATTATTTATTTATTTAAATGTTGCAAAATTATAATTTTTCTAATTTGGTCACTTATGCCATCAGCTGAAATTTTTGTATATGGAAGAACTTTTTCCTCATTTACTAGCGCTGTTTGGGTAAGCTGTAATATCTAGCTGGTTCTTGAGTTTTAAAACTCCTCTAATTGAGCTGAAGACTATGCCTTTCTCTTTAACAAATACTTTTATTATTTAATTAAGGTTTATGATAATATAATTTTCTTTTTGTTGAAGTTCAAGTCATTCTTGAATAGTGGGTTAGTGATTTCATGGGCTAGAGTATTGCTTGGGTCTCTGAGTCCTGAATAAACTGTTCTGATTCTCTTAAAGAGGCATAGGGTGGCAGAGAAAGCAGGAAGACTGTATACCTCTTTCCCTACTGCACTGTTGCTGTGAGGGTGTGGCGTTTGCGTGAGGTGTGGGAACTTAAAAAGTCCTCTCCTTCACCAGAGACTAAATATTCTCATTATGGAGTCATTTAAATTTTAAAGACCTATGGCCCTTAAAAGGGCCCCAGCACAGTTTTGTAATCAAACTCATTACATTTTAATGACCAGTATATCTTGGGAAGCTGCAGGAACCCCTGATGATCTGTAACTACAGCTCCTCTTGCTAGCTTTTTCTGAAGCCAGAATCTCTGCAAAGCTTTTTGTGCCCTCTGTCCTTTGGAGCTCTGCCTTAGGCTAGAGGTGCTGGAGTGGGGAGTGTGGTGGCTCTGACAGCCAGGAGAACTTTCTCTTAGCATTGATAGAACATAAAGTTCATTCATTGACATTTCATTTAGTGAAATGACTGCTTGCATTTTCATGACCTTTTATTTGTATGCTACATCACTTTCTCATGCTGTCATCTTTAAAGTTTTCAGTTTGAATCTTACCTTTTTGGCCTTCGTTTTTTTTTTTTTTTAGGACAGTATCTTCAACCTTCAAGTTGTCACAGTGAATTGTAGTGTGTCAGACTACACAGGGTGTCTCAGTTGAAATTTCAATTGAAAAATTGGAGGTAAGGAGAGTATGTATATCTTTTAAAAATGACTGTATCACTGTTAACATGTTTTATGTTTATAACCCTTTCCATATGTGATTCCCTATCCTTTGTGCACTCAAGAACAAGGGTTTTTTAAAAAAGATGTTCAGGGAATTCATGTGTTTAGATCAGGACAGAAACAGCTACCGTTGGCAGCAGTAAAAAGCACAATTTCTTCGAACAGTTAATTTGCTTTTAGAAGCTTCATCAGCACTGGAGGGATAATGTGGCAGTTGATTTTGAATAAAAGGGGCCAGTCTTGCCCAAGGCCTAGATCCCCATTGGTGGTAGCTGGTGGAGCTCGGAAAACCTGTCCCAGAAAATACCTAGATATGTGTGGACATCCAGATCTTCGAGCTTCCTAGTCTTTATTGTAATTTTTAAATTCTCAAATCTGTGTTCCAGAACTGACTTGAACAGGTGGTAAATTTAGTATTACTATGAAAAAATAAGGATATCTTTTTTTAAAATAGTATTATAGCTATGATTGCTGCTTTGAGCGACTGGATAGATCTGTATCAAGAAAGACTATGTAATAATAACAGTTTTGATTTCTAGATAGTTTTTCTTACTATCTTATGAAAATATTCCTGCTCATTTTAACACCTGTTTCCTAGTATAATAATATACATGGGATGGGTTGTGAATTAAACACGGGACAAGATGTTATGAGGCCTGTTTAATCATTTTGTCTTTTTAACAGGTTTTCAGACCTCTCTAGCCTCCAGTTATCTTTTTGTGTAAAATAAGTTTGTATTGGGGTTGGGCTCAGGCTTTCTCAGTGTCAGCACTATTGACACCTTGAGCCAGATGATTCTTTGTCAGGTGCTGTCCTATGCACTGTGGGAAGTCTATCCCTGACCATATGAAGTCTATCTGCTCACCAGATGTCAATAGCACCCCTCTCCAGGGTGACAACCAAAAGTTCCAGATACACAGAGCCAAATTGCCCCAAATTGAGAACCACTGGGTTAGATGACGTGTTACGCTTCCTTCCACCTTTGTAATTCTATTTTTATTTGAAACAAGCCCAAACGTATTCTTTGCAGTCTGTCTTAGATTTTATGTTTTCCATGAAGTTTTCCTTACCTCTCTCTTTTTGTCCTACTGTAATTGTTTCTTTTTCTGACTACATATAATAGAGTTTAACTGCACGCTATTGTAATTGCCAGTGTATTTCTCACTTTAAGTGCATGGGCCTTCTGTATCTCTAAGTTCAGATTTTATTAAATGAATGAACAGTGGATTTAGGAATATCATCAGCTTAGAAATTGGGAAATCATATTAAGTGGCATTTTTGTTAATCTTTCAAACCTTATTGTTACAAAATTTCAATGGAACATGAGTTTCTGAGTTAATGAGACCAATTCCTCATTTTAAAAATATTTTAGACATATTAGCAGACAAGAGCCTCCTGTATGTATGTGAAAGAGCTACATGAACATAGCAGGGGCATTTGAGGAAAATCCACACAAAATTCATATCACGAAGAATTAAGCTTTTTTAGTGTTTGACAGGTTTTTCAAATAATTCCATTTTTATTAATCAATTAAGCTTTCTTTTTACGATCAGAAAAGTAAACAGGAAAGGTAATAAATATTTTTCTTACATAACCTAAAATACCTCACAGTATTCTAAATCAGTGTTTCTTAAGTAACCCAGAATAAGAAATACATTTCAATTATGATCTAGTACATATGCATATACCTGAAACATTTTTTTGGATTAGTATTTATTATTACTACATATGAAACACTTTGGTGTTTTTTAAAAACACTATTAAGCAATAAAATGTGGAGAAGATCCATTTCTGGCATATGTAACTACTAGGTTGTACAAGCTTTGGTTTTTTTTTGTCTCTTTGAGACAGGGTCTCGCTATGGAGTTCAGGCTGGCCTTGAACTCACTTTGTAGCCCAGGCTAGTCTCAAACTCACAGTGATCCTCCTGCCTCAGCCTCCTGAGTGCTGGGATTACAGGCGTGCACCAACACACCTGGCTAGCTTTGTTTTTAAATAATGACACATAGGCATTGATCCAGCAAAGATTTTTGGAACACTTCAACCAGGGCAAATTAGATTTCCAGTTATTTTAAAGTCTTATATTTTGTCATTTATACTGATTTAGTATGTATAAGGCACTTGTTTATTTCTTGTCCTTAAGATTTATATTCATAAAACCGAGAATAAAAAATTAACAGGTACTGTAAGTGGTAATAAACACACAGTAACTTTTATAGGCAGAAAGCGAGAAAGCTGTACTGATTGAAGTTCCTTGTAGAAGGTTAACATGATTGGGGTAGATTTTACATTGTCCTATCAGACAGTGGAAAAACTATTACCTACGGTAGAAATAGCATTCAAGAAAGTACACAATATTTCCTGCTCATACTTGTTCATTTTTCGGACAGTATTGTAGAAGTAACTGAGAAATTAAAGAAGAAAAAGTATGGTAAAGTGCTGAAAATATATGCTATAAATAGAGTATGTTATTTTAGCTCTACTGTGCTTGTAAAATGCAGTTTATTGAGATTAATTAGAAACTTATATGATGATGGCTCTGGTATAAACCAGTATTTGCCCTAAATTATAATATTAATATTGAACTACTAGGTTTATTGCGAATGCATATTGCAGATAATCTCTAAATGATTGAAAGAGTGCTCATCTATCAAAATAAGTGAATAAGGTTACTATTCTATGTATACATTTCTCTTCATGGAATAGCAGTGGTTTGTAGAGTAGTCAGCATTTTTTAAAAAATGTTATATACTATTTCAGCTATGCAATTAAAAATGACGTGCCTATGTCACAGGCTGAGGCTTAATCCTTTTTTTTCTAAATAGAATGAGAAGTACAGGATGGTAAGTTACAGCCAGGTAAACCACAAAAACCTTAAGAAAATATGCAGTGGACTACATTTTTGTCTGTTTGAGCTGTGGCTTCTTTCTGTAGAATAATGTAGAATTTAATTACCATCTTAGCCTGTTACTTTCTCATCACTGATACACAGTACTCAATACCCATAATTTAAAGGAGGAGGCGTCTATTTTGGCTTATAATTTCAGAGGTGTCAGCCTATGTGTGGTCTTCCAGTTCCAAGGGGCAGTCAGCATGGTGGAGGAATCTGGCAGAGGAAAGCTGCTCACGTCATGTCAGCCAGGAAGCAGAGATAACAACAGGCAGAGCCAGGGAAGGACATGTGTCATACCCCCTGTGAATCGCCTCTTACAGTCAGGCCCCACCTCGCTACAGCACACTCCGCCCACTGAGCTCACCAGTGGATGAATCCACAGATGAGTATTGCACCCCCATGATGCAGTCACCTTCCAAAAGCTCTGCCTCTAAGCACATGAGAATTTGGGATTGCATTCTGGATCCAAACCACAACAGTGGCAATGGAAGTTCCTTTTGATCTAGAAGAAAAGAAGATTCAGCTAGAGCTACCTTCCATAAAAATGTGGTCTAGCATCCTGTCTGCTGTTACTTTAGGGCACTGGAAGTCAAATGGAGTATGTCATTTTCCATTCTCTTTTCATTTTTCTCAGATTTCTAGACTACTGAAAGAAGATGGTTTCAGAGCTGGTGATACGAACAAAGAAACTTTGTGCCAGGGCTCATAGACATACTGAGGTGGTTTTTCCTCCCTAATCTTAAGTAGACTTTATTTTTTAAGAACAGTTTTAATTTTACAGAAAAATTGAGACTACAGTACTTAGAGTCTCCATATATCCTGCACTCAGCTTCCTGTCTTATTGTTTATATTAGCATGCTATCTTTGAATCATTATAATTAATTGAAAGTCCTTATTTTTTCAGATGTCCTTATTTTTTAACCTACTGTATTTTTTTCTGTTTCAGGATTCCACTCAGGAAATTGTATCACGTTTGGTTGTTACATCCCCTTAGTCTTCTCCTGGCTGTGACAATTTCTCAGACTTCCCTTGTTTTTGATGACCTTGACAGTTTTGAGGCGTACTCATCAGGTATTTTATAGAATATATCTTGATTGGAATTTATCAGATGCTTTTCTCAGGGTTAGACTAGAGTTATGGATTTTTGAGGGGAAGACCACAAAGAGAAAGTGCCATCATATCCAGAGTACGTACATCAACATGACTTAATCACTTGGCTGACAAAGTGTTTGCCAGGTTTCTCTTCTGTAAAGCTAATCTTTCTAAAAATCCCTTTCTATATTGTACTGTTTGGAAAAAAGTCACTATGTGTACTTTGCACTTAAAGAGTGGGAAGATAAGCTTTTGCTTAGTGTAAATGATCTGGATAAATTATTTGGAGTTCTTTGGCATGGGAGATTTGTCCTCTCCCACCCTCCATTTATTTAACCATTATAGTGGTACCTCTATTCATGAGCTTAATTCGTTCTACAGTTTTGGTCACAAACCAAATTGGATGAGAACTGAATCATATTTCCCCATAAGATCAACATTGAATCAAACCACTGAATTTGACTCAGTTCTTGTTCAATTTGGTTTGTAACCAGAATCGTGGAAAGAATTAAGTTCATGAAGCAAGATATCACTGGATTTTATATCATTTCAGACTTGTGAATATTTATTTTATACTTTGGGAGTCATAGTGTATTTATTTTGGTGTTCCAGTTTTTCCAGCTTTTGTCATCAGAAACTGTTGTGGTGGCTACCATGTGGTTTTGGTGTGTCCCTGTTGTCATGTATAAATGTAGATGACATTATTACTTCTCATGAGATTATTTTGGGTACTTAGCACAGTGCCTAATACATAGATATGATTCTGTAAATACCTGAAATCAAAACCTCCAGAGCAACAAAAAAATGAAAGTTCCAAAACTTTATACTTGTATACATAATTGCTTTTGTTGAACAGTTATTACTGTACCAGACTAATCAGAAATAATTCTCTCATTTTTTAATCTTAAAAGCTCTGTCAGGACAGTGCATACTTTTCTTCAAACCCTGGACATGCTCACCTCATCAGTCTTAATATGTTAGCAGTGGTTGTCAGCTGAGATTACTGCCTCTCTAGGGACTGCTTGGTGCTATTTGGATTTCATGGTGGGGGAAAGGGCAGGATGCTAAATACCTTTCCTGTTTTGGGACATTGTTATATAACCAAGAATTGTTCTTAAAAGTAGAGTAACCTGATATTTAGCATAGTATATTTATTTACTTTTTTTTTTTTTTTTTTTTTTTGTTTTTCTCCGGTACCGGGAACCAAACTCACGACCTTGTGCTTGCCAGGCAGGCGCTTTTGCCGCTGAGCTAAATCCCCAGCCCCTTATTTTTGTTTTTTTGAGATAGGGTCTTACGATGTAGTTCGGACTGGCCTTGAACTCACTATGTAGCCTAGGCTGGCCTAAAACTTGTGATACTCCTGCCTCAGCCTCTCAAGTGCTGGGATTACAGACGTGTCACCATGCCTAGCAGCACAGTATCTTTCAGCCTCTCTGAAGAACACATTTATGGTATCACAAGTCCATCAGGTATGTAAATGAGTGAGGCAAGGCCAGACCTCAATATCGGGGATCCCGATGGAGTGTATGAAGTAGGCAGACTGAACCAGATTTGGCTTTTCTAAAAAGGGAGTATAACTTTAGCTTCAGCAAGCTGTTACCTACAGTTGCTAGACATTCTCATTGTTCAATGAAAAGCTCAATATCTGAAGTTCTATGTGAAGTCTTCCAATTTTGCAGTGTATTTCACTTATTTTTAAAAGCTCTGCCAAAGCTAAACTAGGGCTCTGTAGGCTAGATTTTGCCCACAGACCATTGGTTTGCAACGTCTGATATAATTATTTTAGGAAATGAGCTAAAATTCTGGCAGAGGTAAAACAGTTGGAGCCATAATGGCACCAATCCTGTGTATTTGCTGAGCTCAGAAAAGGCTGTGGAAACAAAGCACTTAAATGTCCACTTCATTTTTTAGAGTATGGATGGTTGTGGCATCTGAGGCGAGGTCTAGGGGAGCTTCCTCTCTGATTGGAAGGAGGAATTTTTGGGGAAGAAGTCCTAGCAGCTGTTTTTTTTCCTCTTTTTTGTAAATTTTATTTTAAAGAGAAAAGAACAAAAAGACAAAAACCAAGCAACACAAAAACAATAAAAATGATACAGAATTTCAAAACAAGATGATAGGAAATTAACAATGGTTGTTGTATTACATATTGTTATTTTCAAAGTTAGGAGCTGCTTTTTTAAGAACAGACTCAACTCCACTGTTTCTGGTGGTGCCAGTACTCCTGAATTGGAAGTGAATGCACAGCTAAAGGAAGCTCCCAGGATGCTACTGCTAAGCATAGCATCTGGGCCCCGGCCCTTAACGTGCATTCAGAAATTAGGAATCCAGAAAGAAAGAAAGAGGGAAGGAAGGAGGAAAATACACACATACACACATACACACAAGCTAACTAAGATAATTGTATTACTGGTTTCTGTTGGTTTATTTAAAGGAACAGTTAATGCTTAATTTTTTTTTTCACCTTGACCAATTTTACATGTTTCTATCTGGTAATATGAGCAACTGCTTTGAGGATAACAATATGCAATATAACAACAATTGTTGAATACCTATTATCTTGTTTTTTGAAATTCTATATGGTCTCAAATTTTTTTTATTGTTATTTAATTATTTTTTATTCTCTTTAAAATAAATTAGGAATCCCCCCCAAAGCTGACAGGTAGTAAAGGTTCAACACTGAGAATCCCCCAGTTCATGTGCCAAAGCTGTAATATGATAAGATACTAAATAGCAGTGTTTTCATTTTAGTTGCTTTCTCTGGACCTAAAACAAATATACAGTACTATAAAATTTTTTAAAGGAAGCTGACATGGCCCATAACACCAATTTTGGCATAAGGCACATTATTGTGGGAGTATACTACCCACATTTACTCTTTAGAATATTTCTATTGATGAATTATAAAATTAATGAGTTTTATTATATAAAACAATGAGCACTTGACAGGAAAATATTATAAAAAAGCAGCAAAATGTTTAACATTGATTGGTTTTGATGTACATAGTCTAAAAGAACAAATTTCTATATGAACTACAGTGAAAATACCAGTAGAATTCTTAAAAAAATCTTTACTTCAATTATCATACCTGGACCGGGGATGTAGCTCAGTGGCATAAGCGTTTGCCTGGCAAGCCTGAGGTCATGAGTTCGATTCCCGATACCAAAAAAAAAAAAATTATCACACCTAAGGCACATGTGTTTTGCTTTCCTGGCCTTTTAGTAGGACATACTTGACATCTTGCTGTTTTGTCAGGAGGTTCTTATACTATACAGTGTGCAGTTAACAGGAATGTAAAATATCAATAAAGTATTCTTCATATGTACGTGCATTTAGAGTAAACATCAACATTTTCCTATCAGCTGTGTACTTGTTACAAAACCTAAAAGATAACACCAGAAATGAATTCCTATATGAACTACGATGAAAATACCAATAGAACTCTACAAAAAATAATCTTTGCTTCAGTTATCACACCCAAGGCAATCTTTATACCTGACAACTGCATGCTCCATGCACATCTCACTTACACTGACAGGACGTATGTTTAGCTTTCCTTTCCTATGTTGCAGGTCATTCTTGGCACCTCTCTTTCTGTTTTGTCAGGAGCTTCGTACTAATTTGTACAGTGTGCACTTAGCAGGAAAATGAGATATTAATAAAATAAAATATCAAGTATGTAATGAGTAGTTAGCATAGACAAAAATATTTTCACATTGGCTGTTTACTTACAAAACCTAGAAGATAACATCAGAAATAAAAAGACTTATGTGAACTACAATGCAAATACAAACAAAAGTCCACCACAGAAATAATCTTTGCTTCAACTCAAGGCAGGCTTCATATATGAAAACTGCATGTCCCATATACAAGTATCACTTACACTGATAGCACTTACGGGTTGTTTTCCTGTAGGGCACAGTTGCCATCTTTTTGATTTTCCTGTGGTCATAGTAGATCTTTGGAATGCTGTGCCTACCTGTTCACCTGTCAGCTCACCAGAGTAGTCCACAATTGGTTTTGCATAGTTCCCTGGGCAGAAACATTTTGTTCTTTTCTCTGCTGTAAACCATCTCTTACGAGTTCCAGTTCCAGTCCTCTAAGAAAATTTCTCCGTGATGTTTTGCGCTTGTTATTTTCTTTGTGAACTATCAAACTGTGTATACTGCACATGTTTAGGATCAAGTAAAACACAATCATTGGCCAATGCTTTGTGTTTCAAGTGACATCGTAATTACTGCATAACTCATCAACAACATCTCCTCCGCCTTTGGTTTTGTTGTAGAGAGTTTCCATCTCAGGCTTCTGTTTTGTCAAGGTTTCCCTGTCAATATTTCCATCATGGTGCAACATTGACATCAGCAGTACCAGTTTGTTTTTATTTTTGGTTTTTGCCATATACAACCCCAATGTTACATCTTTCTGAAACCCAAAGATTATACTGTAAAATTCTCTGTTTTGAAATTGCAACATTTCATTTCAAATCTCTGCTTTGCTCCTGGGTACAGTTCCTACACTGGTCAGTTTGTGCTGTTACCAGTGTAACATCAACTAGAAACTGGTAAAGCAATTGTTGAATATTACATTCCGATTATTTTGGGAGATAGGAGCAATGACTCTGTTCACAACATCATTTGGTTTGTTACTATTCAAATAAGGACCTGATGGCCAAGCTCCAGAATAAATTTCTAAATTGAAAGCATAAGTTTTTGCATCTATAAGGGCATACATCTTTATGTCATATTTTGAAGGTTTTTTGGGAATATACTACCTAAAGCTACAGTGACCATGAAATGCTGCAAAATGCTCATCAGTAATCATGTATTCAGATGGTGTACGAATTGCTTGATAATTACCCACAAATCTCTCAAACTATGAGTGTCTAGCAGCCAGATTATCAGTTATTTTTTCTTTCTTGGGTGGTTTTGTCATCAAACCTCAGGCAATTTTAAAGGAAACCAAGTCTCCTCAGTGTCAT